TCAAGTCCAAAGACTCGACCCATAAAACAATGTGTGCCGTCGAAAGTAGCTTAAACAAGTAATATTGCTCACTGCCCATTTATATAACCTCCTGAATGCCTTTGAATTTTGGCCCATTTAAGCCTTTATTAGTCCAACTAAAGCCTGACCTAACCTGTATTTGGTATATTTACCCTAGCTATTAAATGTGTGATTTGTGTATAAAAAGAAAAAAATGTGGCTGTTCTTTTCTACAAAAATCGGCTACCATAGTTGAGAGATAAAATGGGTGGCTTTCTTGGTGTTTTTGGCCTCTTCATTGCTTTCTTCTTGTATCTTAAGGCTAAAAAAGATGATGAGGGGAGTTGTAAGTTATGTATGATGAGGAGTAGAATGACGTTCAAGTAGATAAATTTTGGTAGAGCTCAAGACAATAGTGATTCGAAAAAGTAACTCGAGTGATGAGTATAGTAAGAAGAAGGGTAAGGGATTGAACAAGTCCAATGGTAAGCGGTGTTACAGTTGTTGTAAGGTTGGACATTTTATTATGGACTATCCCAGAAAGAAGGATAAGCACGTGTGTAAGATGAGAGGCGAGGCGAGGCGAGGCGAATGTGGTTTTATGGTCGAGTGATGACCCTAGTGATGTTTATTGAAAGTAAACATAGTTATTATATGTGCATCCGTGTGTAAACCTTTCTGCATGTGTATGATTGCTTAATTTTGTTGTATGGCTATATATACATTTCAATGTAATTTATATGTACATTTGCATGAATTTGATAGCAATTTAATTACTTGATAGTAATTGTTTGCATGCACAGTGAGTTAAGATGCATTAGCAGTGTGTTGTATATCTATTAGCGAGATGGAGTATAGATGCCTAGATGTATATAGGTTGTTTGTACCAGGGATGTAGAGTGTGACATTTGAATCACGAGTGAAGATGTGATTAAATGTTGAAATCATTCATCTGTGAATAGACTCTCATCGGGAAGATTGTGAGGGGGGGACTTCTATAACTTCTGTTAGGTGGATACCCATTATTCACTTAGGTTGTGAGAAGTGATGTGGTGATAGATGATTATCCCAAAGACTTAAGATCTATAGAGGTCTACCAATTAGATATGAGTTGAGTGATCAGTCTAATGAGTATGGTGGGCGATGACATGAGATATATGTTCTCGAGGTGCGAGTAACACTGAATGAGATAGGATTAAGTGTTGTGAGATCTTTTTGTAGGATCATTTATGCATTTGTTGCATACGTATTTTGATAGATTGACTTAGTGTTAATTTGTTATTTTGTGTGAACGTATTTTGAAAAGATCTGTGGGTTATCCTATGTTATATCTCTATCGCATGATTATTTTCTCTTGATGGTTTACAATTATTACCTGCTTCTACTTGTTATTTTACCTTAGCCCTAGTAAGTACATATAGCATGTATAGTATAGGTTTTAGGTTCGAAACATGAGGTAAGGTCTGGATTCCAATTTTATTGATTTGCCTTGATTATGCAAGCATTAATATTGTGTATTTTGATTTCTTGCAAGATGATTGGGTATTAAGGTAGAGATTTGTTAGGTTTTAATACCCAATAAATATCAGGCTATGATGTAAATTTTGGATTGAATTATTACCAAAAACCAAATTCAAAGGCTCAACCCAAAAATAACGTGAGCCATTAGAAGTAACTTTAATAATTAATGTTGCTCACGACCCATATATATTACCTCATTGATGAATTTGAATCTTGGCCCATTTAACCCTTTATTGGTCCAACTAAAACCCAACATAACTTAAATATATGGTGTCTTTCCCTAGCCAATAAATGTGTGATTTTTTTATGAAAAAAAGAAAATGTGGTTGTTCTTTCTTGCAAAAACCGACAGCCATAGTTGAGAGATAAAATTGGTGGCTTCCTTGGTATTTTTGGCCTCTTTTTGTCCCTCTTTCATTGCTTTCTTCTTATACTTTTGTGGTTTACAAATTATCACCGTTATCTTGTCCTTGTAGGTGAGATTGATGAGTAATCGAGGTGAATACATTGGTAGTGGATTGGAGCCGTTTGGATTGGTTGGTTGTTAGAGAATATTAACTTGAAACGGAACCCCAAAAACATCGTTTTGGTGACTTTTGAGCGAGCTTCCACGACAAGAAGATGTGGCCATTCTGCATTCACAGGTCTTTAGGCTATTTTTTCTTTATTCGTATTGTACATAAGGTAGTATCTCTCCGATTTAATGTTTTTTGTCATTTGTACTTTTTTGATTGTCAGGTTTGTATCCTCCTTCTTTTTATTTATTCGCGTTCCATTAATATCAAGATAAGGAAATTCGAACCCCCTTTGTTCTATCTTAGTGTACCTTGAAAAATAGATTAAGATTGTGATTTATGGTGATTTAATAATAAAAAATGGCCAATAACTTCCATACAAAATTAGGGTAAATAAATCTAGAGACAAACCCTCTATTTATAAAGGAAATTTTAGTTTCTATATATTAAATGGGATTATAAATAACTTCATTCCAAATACGAAGCAAAAAAATCTATTTTATGTGGATAGATAAATATAAATTATATTCTAATTGAAATACCAATTCTTAAGAATCTCTAACCTCACATTGAATTGTCCAAAGCTTCCAAATAGGATTTCTTCCACGTCTCTTGCAAATTGAATAATGAGCCTATGCCACAATGTCACATCTTCAATCCTCTTGTTCATTCCACTTACAAAATGCTTGGTGAACCTTTTCTTCTACGATCCCAATTCTTAAGACTAAGATTCAACAAATGCTACTATAATGAATATACACAATTGGAATCAATAAATTCTAAAAATTTAAAATCAGTCCATGCTGAACAACCTTGCTATAAATTATGCCGCAACCTGTCGGCTTGACTTTTCTAGGAATTCATAAGTCATCGACATAAATTTTTTACCACATACCTTGCATCAATGTCAAGAAAATACCTTGTTCGAATTTATGAACTTCCTAGCAGCTACACATCCTTTATCAAGTCAATGAGGACAACTACCTTAAGACCTAACTATGGATTTTTCTTGCCCATTGGTGATCCAACTTAGGGCCACTACATTCATTCGACGACAAAATTGAGATCCTTCTTTTGCATTCACATAACGAAGTTTAGGGCCTGACTACTATATCATTTGTAGGGAACTGGGGTCCATCCCAAAAGGCAAACCGATTAAGTGGAGCATCAAATCCCTTATACGTCCATTTATCCCATGTCTAATCGATTGTTAGACTTTTATGTTAGATGACATCCAATTTATTTGTCAGAATCGTGTGTGCCTTGCACATGCCTTATTTCTTAAGGGAAAATTTTGTCTATACAGATTCTAGGTATTTTTCGCATCAATATTATTCTCTCACTCTTTTCCTACGTTTAGATAATGTTCGTAAACGTCAAATCATTTTTTATCCACAAATTTATGGGACCCATAAGTAATACCTACTTATCCGCTACTCATTTCTACTTATTTATAAGTTAAACTATTTATAAACACTTGTGAAACATGCTTCTTATATAAGATATCTATACATCCATATGTGGTCAGTCTCATTCTCTAAGCATAGCCTAAAACCTAAATCTGAAATGCCGCTGAAGAGCATGAAGAGTTCTCTATATTAGATGGAGGAAAATGTAGAAGAAACTTGTGTAAATAGGGAGAAATACTATATGCAGGGAGAAATTTAAGAGATGGGAAATGGGCAAGGGCAATCAACGTTCAAGATGTTGAAGAAGGTGACTTGCATAAAAGATCTTGGAAGCGTTTGGTAGACCAAATGATAATTCAAGACAATGGAATTCAATATCCAACTATTGGACAATGGTTAATAATTCTAGACGCTACTGAAGGTTTCAACTTTCACATGCTGAGCTTCCTTTTGACTTCCTGGTTAGGTGTTCTAAACATATTTAGACTCAAGTATCACGAAACTTAAAAGAGATACTTACCTTGTTTTACATGAAGAGACCATAATGTTAGCACGAAGATTCTTGAACTTATATGGAGCTTTTGGTTGGGAGGGAGGGGTGAGGACTCGTTTGATTGCTTTAATAGGCGTGGAAGGTGAGAGATGAAATCGAACTTCATTTAGATAATGTGAAGTTATAAAGCAGTTATACTTAGAAACGTAGTGAATAAAGAAGGGAAGAATTGTTTAAAGCATGGTTCCTAGTGTACCTCATTGTTTAAAGGGAAGAATTGAATATTGGATAATGATTTGTTTACCTATTTTAGTTAACTTATTTTAGGATATGTATATTCTGTGATTTGCATTCTTTCCAGAATTATTGCTCTACTATAACTAGTGTAGCTTGTTATAGTAAATATCCAAGGGTCATTAGAATTTTACTATCATTACAAAACCCTAAACTAGGGTTGGCCATGCAAGTCTGTATGTGTATATAAGCACTCTACTTCTTCATTAATAACAATGAAAAATTTATGGTGTCAGAGCCATACGCTTAACAAGCTTTGATTGTGGCCTCAATGGAATCATCCAACATAGACTCTACCAACCAAACACTCAGCAACACCAACCCACCACCTCTACCCTTTCCCACAGTCCCAAATCCTCCCATTGTCTCAACTACTCATCAAACTTACCTCAACAAATGTTCCTGCATGGCATATCCAATTCCACAGTCTACTTGTTGTCTTTGATCTTCTGGGCTTTGTCGATGGCACCATTCCCGGTCCAGTGCAATCCACCACTCTCAACCCCAAGCACATACATTGGATCCGACAGGATAAACTTCTTCTCAATGCCATCGTCAGCTCTCTCTCTCTCTCCAAATTTGGTTTCCTTTATTGTCGTAGCACGAACATCACGTGAAGCATGGGTTACCATCAACAACACTTACGCTAGACCCTCACGAGGGCATATTATGCACCAAAAAAATGCTTTCGGCAATCTGCAAAAGGGAGATGCTACTATAACTGAATATATGCATGGGGTTAAAAGCATTATTGACAATCTAACCCTTATGAATTCTTCACCTGATCAAGATAAATTGGTCCTTCACATCCTTCACGGTCTTGGCTTCGAATACAATGGACTGGCAGAAGCTATTCTTCCTTGTGATACATCAATCACGTTTGATGAGTTGCACCAAAATTTTGTTACCGGGGAAGCTCAACTCCAACCTCAATCTTCTGTCTCTTCCTCTCCCTTCCAACCAATCACTGCCAATCTCGCCTCTCAAAATCCCTTCACCATACGGCCAAACCACCCTCTTTCCAGTGGATTTCGAACCAACTACATTCCCCAACAACGTCCCTTCTCAAATAATTTCTAACCTCGTAACAACTATAACACAAACTATACACCTCGACCGTACCTTGGCAAGTGCTAACTCTGTGGGAAATCTGGTCATTCTACTAAACGATGTACTGCCTATCGTTAATCACCAGTCATCTCAAACCCAAGTTCTACCCAACAGCCGTGACATTACCAAGCAAATCTCACCATCTTGTCCACTGCTACGTCTTCTGAAGAATGGCTTCATGACTCTGGCGCATCTCATCACATAATCAATGATCTTAGCAATTGTAGACTCCACTCCAACTACTCTGGCCCCGATGATGTTCAGATTGGTAACGGTAATGGTTTACACATCACTCACACTGGTCGTGCTCGTGATACATCAATCACGTTTGATGAGTTGCTGGAAAAACTTGTTACCAGGGAAGCTCAACTCCAACCTCAATCTTTAGTCTCCTCATCTCCCTTCCAACCAATCACGGTCAATCTCGCCTCTCGAAATCCCTTCGCCACACGGTCAAACCACCCTCCTTCCAGTGGATCTCAGTCCAACTACACTTCCCAGTAATGTCCCTTCTCAAACAATTTTCGAACCCGTAACAACAGCAACACAAACTATACGCCTCGACTGTACCTTGGCAAGTGCTAACTCTGTGGGAAATCTGGTCATTCTACTAAACGATGTACTGCCTATCGTTAATCACCAGTCATCTCAAACCCAAGTTCTACCCAACAGCCGTGACATTACCAAGCAAATCTCACCATCTTGTCCACTGCTACGTCTTCTGAAGAATGGCTTCATGACTCTGGCGCATCTCATCACATAATCAATGATCTTAGCAATTGTAGACTCCACTCCAACTACTCTGGCCCCGATGATGTTCAGATTGGTAACGGTAATGGTTTACACATCACTCACACTGGTCGTGCTCGTGATACATCAATCACGTTTGATGAGTTGCTGGAAAAATTTGTTACCAGGGAAGCTCAACTCCAACCTCAATCTTTAGTCTCCTCATCTCCCTTCTAACCAATCACGGTCAATCTCGCCTCTCGAAATCCCTTCGCCACACGGTCAAACCACCCTCCTTCCAGTGGATCTCAGTCCAACTACACTTCCCCGTAATGTCCCTTCTCAAACAATTTTCGAACTCGTAACAACAGCAACACAAACTATACGCCTCGACTGTACCTTGGCAAGTGCTAACTCTGTGGGAAATCTGGTCATTCTACTAAACGATGTACTACCAATCGTTAATCACCAGTCATCTCAAACCCAAGTTCTACCCAACAGTCATGACATTACCAAGTAAATCTAGACATCCAGTCTACTGCCACGCATTCTCAAGAAGGCTTCTTGACTCTAGCGCATCTCATCACATAACCAATGATCTTGCCAACCTTACACTCCACTCCAACTACTTTGGCCACGATGATGTTCAAATTGGTGACGGTAATGGTTTACACATCACTCACACTGGTCAGACTCATATTCACTCCCGTAACTCCAAGTTTATTCTCTCTAATATTCTCTGTGTTCCCCAAATAGCTCGGAATTTAATTTATGTTCTCAATTCTGCTTACAAAACAATGCTAGTATTGAATGTTTACCTCATGCACTCCCATTCAATTTTATTGCACCACTGACCTCCTACTCCACTATCTCCACCAACCTTGACACCGGTATCTCCACTTAGGTCCCAACCCCAAAATCTTACGACATTTAGTATCTAGCAAAATTTTATCTTTATCATTGTTCAAACATTCGTTATCTAATTGTAATTTATGCGATTGCAATAAAAGTCATAAATTGTCATTTTCCAACTCTATTGTGTCCAGTTCTGCTACATTACAGATTATTTTCTCTGATTTATGGACATCTCCCATCGTCTCTACCGAAGGATACAAATAATATGTTGTGTTTATTGATCATTTTACAAAATATGTATGGCTTACCCCTTAAAGAAAAAATCGAACGTTCATGACACCTTTATTCGTTTCCATAGCCTTGTCGAAAAAATTTTAATGCCACCATTACCACGTTCTTCACGGACAATGGTGGTGAATATATTGCTTTCACCTCCTACCTTTCGAAAAACGGTATCACTCATCTTACCACTCCTCCTGCTTTCACCTCCTACCTTTCGAAAAACGGAATCACTCATCTTACCACTCCTCCTCGTACACCGAAACACAATGGCTATGCCGAACGGTGACATCGCCATATTGTCGAAACTGGTTTGGCACTTCTCCACCATGCCTCATTTCCCTTGCATCTTTGGCCTTATGCGTTCACCACAGCCACATATTTGATTAACCGCCTCCCTAAACTCAACCTTAACTATCTCACCTCTTATGAAAAACTCTACCACTTTCCCCCATATTTTTCCAAACTACGGGTGTTTGGATGCCTTTGCTACCCTTGGCTACGCCCGTATAACTCACACAAACTTGAATCTTACTCCAAGAGATTTTTTTTCTTCGTTATAGTCTCTCCCAGAGTGTTTACTACTGCCTTGGTATTCATATTGGTCGTGTGTATACAAGTCGTCATGTAAAATTTGTCAAACATATTTTCCCCTTCACTACCTCACCCTCTTCCCCTTCAACCACAGAAGCCGGTCTCCCTTTCTTTTCATCTTCGCCCTTGGTTACTGGTTTAGATGGCTTAAGTTATGGTGTGCGTACTCAACCCCTAGTCACTGCACCCATTGGTTTGGACTTCGTCTTTGCTCCTTCTCCTTGGCCATCCCCAGTTTTTGGCCCCAATTCCCCAGACAACTCTATCCCTCCGTCCTCTTCACCATTCTCGACCATCGCACCTAACTCCCTGTCTGACTCCATCCCAATCCCCAATCCCATTGCTCCCAACATCTCAATACTAACACCCCCGTCCACAGTCCTTCTTCAACAACACTACCTCCCTCGTCTACTCATCTCACTCCATCACCCAACACCCCTGTACATATACGACCCACTCGAAGCCTTGCACAACTCCTCCACTCTCCTCATCCGTTCACTCCTGAGCGGTCCAACCACCCAACAGTCTATCTATCTCTCCAACCACCGATGATTCCACTGCTCCACTTTCCTATTCCACTCAGCCGATCGTACCACCTTCCCCTCCATGTTCCCAGTCCCTCCATCCAATGTTTACCCGAAGTAAAGCTGTTCACCATGCCTCCACTACACCCTGCCAACTCCCTCGAGAACCAATCACTGTCCACCTTCCCCTCCATGTTCCCAGTCCCTCCATCCAATGTTTACCCGAAGTATAGCTGATCACCATGCCGCCACTACACCCTGCCAACACCCTCGAGAACCATTCACTGTCGTCCAGGCCTTGAAGGATCAGAACTGGCGTTATGCTATGTGTGATGAGTAAAACGCCCTTATCAAAAATGGCACTTAAGACTCTTGTGCCTTATGACTCCTCTCAAAATGTTATTGGTTGCAAATGGGTCTTTCGTAATAAACGGAAAATGGATGGGTCAATTACGTATGTCGTCTACAACGGTCTCTTTATGGCCTTAAATAGGCTTCTCGTACCTAGTACTCTGAATTCAAACATTTTCTCGTTAGTATTTTATTTCAAATTCCAGGGCCGATGCATCCCTAATTTTTCTCCGCCAGCGTTCTATAGTAATTTTCTCCTGGTCTACGTTGATGACATTATACTCGTTGGTAACTCCTCATCTGCTATGGCCACTTGTGTTCAGAAACTTGCTGACCGGATCTCTATTAAGGATATGGGTGATCTTTCTTACTTTCTTCGCATGGAAGTCATTTCTAGCCTACATGGTCTCTTTCTCTCACAGCACAAGTATATTCTTGATCTCCTAGACATAACGGGTATGTCTTCATCCAAGCCAGCTGTTAGTCCCATACCGACCTCACACATCCTTGCTCTGCATGAAGGTGAACTAATGGCCAATCCATCTAATTATCATTTAGTACTTGGTGCCTTACAATTCTTGGCATCGACACACCCGGACGTAGCCTTTGTTGTCAACAAACTTTCTCAATTTATGCACTCTCCTACATCAGTACACGGGTCCGCCCTTAAACATTTATTATGGTATTTGCATGGGACTCTTGATCATGGTCTTCTATTTCAACGGAATTCCCCGTTTTCTCTTCACGTATTCTCTAATGCTGATTGGGGTTGCAACATCTCCGACAGAACCTCCACTGGTTCTTATATTGTTCTTATTGGCTCTAATCAAATCTCCTGGAGTTCTAAAAAGCAGAGCACTGTTGCTTACTCTTCAACAGAGGCTGAATACTGATCCATTGTTGTTGCAACTGCCGAAATCACCTGGCTTCAGGCTCTCCTTCATGAGATTGGCTACACATTGCCTACCGTTCCTATCATCTCTTTTGATAATGTCGGGGCCACCTATCTGTGTGCTAATCCAGTATTTCATTCTCGGATGAAACATATTACTCTTGACTTTCACTTTGTTTGTGAAAAAGTTCAAACTGGCAAGCTTCATGTCATTCATGTTTCTGGCTTTGATCAATTGGCTGACAGCTTAACAAAGCTAGTTCCTAGCTCCAAACTCTCTAGCATTTGGTCCAAGATTGGCGTCCGTTCGTCCTCCATCTTGAGGGGGCGTATTGGATAATGATTTGTTTACATATTCTAGTTAACTTATTCTAGGATATGTATATTTTGTGATTTGTATTCTGTCCAGAATTATTGTTGTACTATAATTAGTGTAGCTTGTTATAGTAAATATCCAAGGTCATTGGAATTTTACTATCATTAGAAAACCCTAAACTAGGGTTGGCCGTGCAAGTCTATATGTGTATATAAGCACTCTACTTCTTCATTAATAACAATGAAAAATTTTAGCCAACTATTCTTTAGTTTCTTTATTGAAAATGAACATTTTTAGTTTTAAACTATAATTAAAATACGAACTCAACCAAACTATTTTAAATTTGAACTAAACCAAGGATTTTAAAAGCGATTTTGATATAGTTCTCAAATTTAAGAATTTTTTCTTATATCCTAGCTTATTCCATCTT